TCCTTATGGAGAAAATTTGTTTGATGCTCAATAGTTTTTGATACTGATCGTGCCACCTGGAACCAATTAATGATGAGTACCAAGGTGGTTCAGTGGCTAAGATGTTGAGCTTCTCGATCAGAAGGTCGGCAGTTCAGCGGTTCGAATCCCTAGCGCCGCGTAACGGAGTGAGCTCCCATTACTTGTCCCAGCTTCTGTTAATCTAGCAGTTCGAAAGCACGTAAAAAATGTAAGTAGAAAAATAGAGACCACTTTGGTGGGAAGGTAACAGGCCACATGACCACAGAGACATTGTCGGACAACGCTGACTCTTCGGCTTAGAAACGGAGATGAGCACTGCCTCTAGAGCCAGAAATGACTAGCACACATGTGCGGGGGAACCTTTACCTTTACCTTACCAGAGATGGTATTCAGCCGGTTCGTACGGTTCGTGTGAACTGGTAGCAGAGATCGCAGATGGGCCCGCTCATTCACCCCGGCTCTATGACATCCTATTTAGGCATATTTTTGAGGCTGGGCACATGCGCGTATGGCAAACAAGCGAGCAAAGCACATGCGCGGAAGGCTGGGCGCATGTGCAGAAGGTGCACATGCAAAGCGAGCATGCACGCAGCGAACCAGTCGTAAGAATATTGGAAACCCACCGCTGTACCTTACCAAGGTACCACTGTATTTTAATATCTTTTCCAAGACCTGTATAACTACTCCATAAAGGTCTTGGAAAATACTAGTCTGCAGTGTATTTCTTGGTTTCTTGTTCCTTTACTGTTGACAGTTGATGCGAAAAGGTAGAAGCTCTGCACAAGTGATATTTTCATTGGCAATTCTAAGAGTGGTTGTTCTACTTGCTGTCATTACTTTGGCCTTCTTTATGTTTTAGTCTCATTTTTTTTACCCTGCAATGAACAAAGCATTGTAGCTGCAGCTGGTGTGTGTTTTCAACTTTAAGTGAATCATCATCCTTAATCTGCCACGAGGCGATTTCTAAACTGAAAAATGGTTAAAAAAAATATAAGCAAGAATATCTGCCCGTATTAATTGAAAAAACAAACAAAACCCACACCCTTACAGTATTCCTATACAGTAACCTAAGGGTGGAAATGAAAAATTATAAAATGGGAAAACATTCCCAAAGTTGTAGCTGAACAGTGCAAATCTGTGCTGAGTTTCATGGAGAAGATTCCCAGAAGGGTCAACATTAAGATTTCAGCTCTACGTGATGGCAATCATGCTTTCCAAATACATTCCCTTTCAACTGATTTGAAGAAGGAAGAAGCGGACAACTTGTGTTTTGGAAATGGAGGTGGTGTTGTGAGGTGCTTCTCCAGGCTCTGTGGCTTTTGAGGAGTCAAAACTCTCCATTGCACAGCCAGATGGAGCTGTGGCCGAGGCTGAGTCTGTGCCGAGATGAGACAACCGAGATATCTCTCATGCTTGCTGGATCACAGGCTGCAGCAGGTGGTGCTAAAGAGTTTGTGCATACTTTTGCCAACCTCAGTTTCTCAGCGATTGGATCTAGTCCCTTCCCTTGTTGTAAGAGACCACATGGAATTTCTGGCAAGGCAGCTTTCAGATTTAGATGTCATCAGGAGGTTGACGTCCCATACCACCAGCCCAACCTCCTACTATCATCAGGTTTTAAGCAATTGGGCCCTAGTTTCTGGACCTAGTTTGAAGTCCTGCCCTTACCTTTAAAGTTCTACATGTTGTTGGACTTGGGATATTTTCAATGTGGTCTTCTCTCAACCTTCCTCCTGGAAGTCCAACTAAGTATTCCCCACCTATTCATGAGATGTTGGGTGACCTTGTTGTTGTGGTCCGCCAGCAGCCTGCGGAGCTGGCAGCAGAGTCGGACAGTGAGGAGGCTGGGGAGGAACATGGGCCAGTTCTGGAGTCTGGGGAAGGCTCGGACGAGGACTCTGTGTCCGAGGCAGAGAAAGGGCCATCTGGGAGGTACGTGCTGTCCCCAGAGCCTCCAGAGTCGGATCTCAACGACGCAGAGGAACAGGGGGACCCCGTTCCCAGTGCACGCATGCGCAGAGCTGCCAGAAGGCAAGAACAACTAAAACAAAAGGGATGACTCGGGAGTAGGGCTGGGAGATGATTGGCCACTCCCATAAGGCTTAAAAGAGGAACAAAGGCACATGGGCCTTTGCAGGAAGCAACGTTTGTTCATTCTGTTCAGCTTAAAGCCTGAAGCTCTGTTTGATTCTGCACTCCATGTGGCTTTGCCAGTTAGGTCTTTGGCAGTGTGTCAAGGGAGATAAAGGTGGGCGATTATCCCGAAGGACTTCTCCCGAAGGACTCTTTACAACTAATTGGGACTCATCTGTGAATGAACAGAATTCACAGCTGTTGCAATAAGAGAGGTTTTTGGGACTACTCGTGTGTTTTAATGACTCAGGAAGCCGAGGTCAGATCACTTGTAAATCATGGCATTAATTCTGGAGCCAAGCCCTCCACCTAACACATACGTACCAAGTTCTGAGCACTCAGTCAAATCGCAGAGTTTTTGGTCCAAAAATCTCAACCAAGTGGTTCTGCATTAGCAGATGCTCTAAAAAAAGGAGAAACTTTTCCAAGTTTCTAAGGCATCTAAGCCAAGTTCTTGCCTTTCTGGATATGATAATCTCTTACAGATTCAACAGTGATCTGCTGATGGGGGTCAACTCTGAAGAAAGTGGATTGTGATAACCATTTATTCCAAAAAGATAGATCAGATTGGCTAATTTATTTTTTGCAGGCATGCTTTTTTCCCCACAGTGCCTTCACCCTGGATAACACACAGGCCTGACTGTTGGGGATTCATCTATCAGTACAAATAAAAACATCCTGATAATTTAGTTTCAAGCAGCCCTTGACTTATAACCACTCATTCAGCAAAGTGATGTTCAAAGTTATGATGACACCAAATGAATGTTGGTTATGACCGGCCTTCAGAGTTCCTTTCCTGACCAGCCTTTCTTGCACACCTTGTTTTATGACCGCATCATTTAGCAATGGAAATTCCAGTCCCAATTGCCATAAATTGAGGACTACCTGTAATTAGCATCTCCTGTGACTTTGTATCCTGGCAAATAAATGGGGAAGAAATGGAGGTAGTGACAGATTTTATTTTCCTGGGCTCCAAGATCACCACAGATGGGGACTGCAGCCAAGAAATTAAAAGACGCTTGCTCCTGGGGAGGAAAGCTATGGCAAATCTAGACAGCATACTAAAAAGCAGAGACATCACCCTGCCAACAAAAGTGCGTATAGTCAAGGTTATGGTTTTCCCAGTTGCAATGTATGGCTGTGAAAGTTGGACCATAAGAAAGGCTGAGCGCCAAAGAATTGAGGCCTTTGAACTCTGGTGCTGGAGAAGACTCCTGCGAGTCCCTTGGACTGCAAGGCGATCAAACTGGTCAGTCCTAGAGGAGATCAACCCTGACCGCTCTTTAGAAGGCCAGATCCTGAAGATAAAACTCAAATACTTTGGCCGCCTCATGAGAAGGAAGGACTCCCTGGAGAAGAGCCTAATGCTGGGAACGATTGAGGGCAAAAGAAGAAGGGGACGGCAGAGGTGGCTGGATGGAGTCACTGAAGCAGTCGGCGTGAGCTTAAATGAACTCCAGAGGATGGTAGAGGACAGGAAGGCCTGGAGGAACGTTGTCCATGGGGTCACGATGGGTCAGACACGACTTCGCAACTAACAACAACAACAAATGACTTTGTAATTCTATAGTAATTGTCTTCTCCGGTAGGTTTTATTTATTTATTTATATTTTTTATTATTATTGTTATGCCACCCCATCTCCCTACAAAGTGACTCGTTACAGTTTGTGTTGAATTTTAAGCACATAATGAGCCTCGGACCAAAACGAGAAACGTCAACCGGACTTCTGGAACTGTGCAGGTGAAGGGATTCTCTCCTGAAAACCCATCCATAGTGGCTTGTCCTTCGATAAAAATAGGTCGCTGCAGGAAAGCCGCTTTCTTGGAGGACCCCTGTGCCCCTCCAAGCATCTTTTCCAGCCCAGAAAAAAAAAAAAATCCATTTCCTATGCCCAGCTGGTGGAAAAGGAGGCAAATGAAGGGCTGGAAGGGTGATGGGAAAAAGAGGAGTGGAATGTTTATTTTGGAAAGCCAGGAGCAGAGGGAGAGAGAGAGAGACTCTGCTCCAGTTTTGGATCCAAGCTGGGAAAAGCAGATGAAAATAATCTCTTTTTTTCCCCCGTCGGGTCTTTTGTCTCCGCTGCAAGTGCGTTAGCGCGCTCTTTCCCTTCCCTTCCCTGGGCTCCGTTTGTGTAACCAAAGAAAGCTCTTCTCGTTTCCTTGCAAAAGGCTCTTAAAGAGGCAGGAGTGCCGGAGGATTAAAAAAGCTCCTTGTGGTCCCTACTTGATCGGATCCGAGCTGTGGGGAGGGAAGAAAGAGAGAGAGAGATCCCTGCTTGGATCGCTTCTGCAAACGTCTCTCCAAGACAAATTCCTTGGGTGCCCAATCACACATGGCCAATAAAAAAATGCAATTCTATTCTGTTCTCTTTTCTTCTCCCTCCCCCCTTTAATTTGCATTCTGGGGGCTTGAACCCCCCCCCCCCCACTCACAATTTCTAGATGCGCTCCGATCCTGAACCCTGTTCCCGGCAAAGTCGCCAGGGTTGAGCCCGGGGGAAGGGGGCGATCCTATACCGTTGCGCGCTCAGGCGCAGCGATCCCCTCCCGGAATATTCCTGGCTGCTTCCCGTGTCTGCCACCCCACCCCTCCCTCCCTGCACGGAGAGGCCTGGTTGGGGATACACACACACACACACACACACACACACAGGATTTGCAAACACAACGAGGCACCACCTCGCCTTGCAAAGGCTGCAGCTTGCTTTTGCAAAAGCCCCTTCCCGCTTCCTTCCTTCCTTCCGTCCCTCCCTCCCCCGCCTCGCGGTACACCCCCCCCCCCCCCCCCCCCCCCCCCCCCCTCCCCCCCCCCTCTCTCTTCCTCTCTCTTCCCCCCCCCCTCCTCCCTTGCGCTCTGGTTTCTTTTCCGGCAACCGGAGCTCGCTGCTTTTCCCATTTCCTGCCGGCCCGGCTCCTTTAAGAGGGCAGAGCCGATGCCGGGAACTCGCGTCACTTTTCCAGCCTAGGAAAGTCTCCAGGTCCATGAGCGGAGGAGAAGCCGCCGCCGGCGCCGCCGTGAGGCTTCTCTCTCTCTCCTTCTCCTTCTTGGGCATCGTTTACGCGCGGCGGGCCCGGGCCGAGCTGGGAAGGCTGGCGGAGAGAAGGCAACCCTTTCCACCGCGCCAGGAGAGACGGCACCGCCTCGCTTCCCTTCTCCGAGCCATGCGAGGGCCCCCTCCGGGCTGGCTGGGGCGCGCTCGGGCGGCTCGCCGGTGATCATCGGAGGCGCCGCGCCGTGAGAAGAAGAAGAAGGAGGAGGAGGAGAGCGCCTTCGCCCGGCCGGCCCTGGTGGTGGAAAAGGAAGCCGAGCTAAGCCAACCAGCCAGGCAGCGGGCGGAAAGGCGCAGCCCAGCAGCCGGGAAAGAGAGGGGGGAAAAGAAGAAGCCCCAGGCGCCTTGCGCGCCCAACTTCCTGCGTTTGGGTATTATACTTCGCCCTCCTTCCCTCCGTGGAGACATGTCGGAAGGTCCCGATCTGGTCTGCATCAAGGTAAAAACAAAACAAAACAACAAAAAACGCAAGCGCCCGGCTGCCATCGGGCCTCGGGGTGGGGGCTGGCGGAAGTCCGCCGGGTAGGTGGGTGGGTGGGTAATGGGGACGGGGGTGGGGACGGGGGTCTTTCAGCAGCTTCTCTTTCTTCCAATCGTTCCCCCCCCCCTTCCCCCTCTCCACTCCGGTTCTTCGCCTTGCAAACGGGAGAGGTCGGCCAGGGGCGCACGCGGGGGCGCGCACGGGTTTGGGTGGGTGGGATTGCATTGGGCGGAAACGCGGCTTTGGGCCCGGGGCTGGCTTTGGCGGGCGCGGGATCGGTGGACCCTTCCCCACTTTCTCTCTCTCCCCCCCCTTCCTCTCTTCCCCTCTTCCCCAAGCTGTGGCTTAGTTTGCAGGCCCTGGTGGGGAAGGGGTGCTCCAGACATTGGGAAGCGCCAAGAGGGGAGAAAATATTATTATTATTATTATTATTATTATTATTATTATTATTATTATTATTATTATTATTATTATTATTATTGATGATGATACTACTACTAATAATAATAAAAATAAAAATATGCCACCTCCAGGCTGGAAGTAAAAAAAAAATAAAAAGCCTCTTTGGAGAAGTTTCTGAACTTGCTCCGGTGGGGATCGCGCCGGATCCCTCCGCTGAGCCCACCCCACACCCCAAATCCCACCCCGACCCGTGGGCATGCCGAGGGTGGGGTGGAAAGGCGACCCCGCCTGAGGAGTTGGCCTGAGGCGCTTTGCAAAAGCGAGGCTCCCCCCCCTCTCCGTGCGCCCGGCTGGGGATTGCGCGCAAGCTGCTTTTTCCCCCTCCCGAGGGGCGCGGCGGGGGTCGCTTTCCCCTATTCCCCCCCTTTGGTCCCTCGAGGCTATCGATCCTTGGACTCGATCGGGGTGTGATTTGGAGAGCGAGGGATCAACCCACCCCCCCACGGTTCCTCCTCTCCCTCCCTTTGTAGGTCCGACTTTTCTGGGCAGTTGGAAAGAAAGACATGAAACAGGTTGTTGGCCGCCAGGAAGTGGAGCCCCCCCCCCAGACGCGAACTCGTGACCAACTTTTAAAGGAAATATGTGAGAAGGTGCCTTTCCTTTCAGACCAGGAAGGGAGTTCTGTTTGGGGGGTGTGTGTGTGTGTGAGGTACTTTTGGGGGACCCCCTTCCTTCTCCCACCCCCTCCCCCCACACACAATTGTTCTTCTCCTGGTCCTGCGTGGAGTTTTTCCCCTCTCCCCCCCCCCCCGGCTTTCAAGCCCAGCTGCCGCCTCTTCCGTGGCCCTTTTTTTGCTTGTTTTAAGGAAAAAGGAAATGCAACCGAATGTAAATCTTGTATTTTTGGTGGCTTTGTTGTTTGCATGCTCTCCCGACGCGGATGTATGGGAGAAATGCGGTGTGTTTGGCCACCCTCTTCCCCGGTGTTTTTTTTCTGGAATATTTGTGGTTAACAAATATTATCAACTGACCACATTAAGGCAAATCCAAGATGCATAGAGAAAAAAAGAATATGCAAAGTGCAAATCTATATCTATGTCTGTATCTATCTATCTATCTATCTATCTATCTATCTATCTATCTATCTATCTATCTTTTTATTTTTATTTTTATTTTTATTTTTATTTTTATTTGTTTTAAATTTGATTTATATGCCACCCTTCTCCGGAGACTCAGGGCGGCTTACAATGCGTTAAGCAATAGCCTTCATACTTTTGTATATTTTTATACAAAGTCAGTTTATTGCCCCCACAAACCGGGTCCTCATTTTACCTACCTTAGAAAGGATGGAAGGCTGAGTCAACCTTGAGCCTGGCAAGATTCGAACTTACTTTAATTGTAGACAGCTGGTGTTAAATTATAGTGCCTTGTCTGCAGAGTTATCCATATCTATATCTATCTAAAACACTGGAACTTTTAAAGAAGAGATTGGACAACCATTTGTCTGAAATGATACTATAGGGTTTCCTGCTAAAGCAGGGGGTTGGACTAGAAGACCTCCAAGGTCCCTTCCAACTCTATTATTCTATTCTATTCTATTCTATTCTATTCTATTCTATTCTATTCTATTCTATTCTATTCTATTCTATTCTATTCTATTTTTTTTTTTTTTGTATTTTTTTTTTCCCCCAAACATACAAATTACATCCTTTTGGAATAGAGCTTTGATCCGGTCATCACTTTGTTCAATTTTTAAGAAAATCTTTTAACAAAATTTTATCTATTCTATTTTGCCATAGCACTTCTAAATCTTAAATCGCATATACAACTATTACCATCTTAAAAAAGGGGGTTGGACTAGAAGACCTCCAAGGTCCCTTCCAACTCTGTTATTCTATTCTATTCTAAATGATTAAAGTGATATAGTCTGTTGCTATGGAGGTAATCATAAAAATCTATCCAAAGCTGAGAGGATTGAGGGACATTAATGTTATTTGGTCGCTGCCCTAAACTGTGCTTATGGTGGTTGTTTCAAAATTACCTTTTGACTAAAATTAATCTAAACTGTGTATGAATTAAACTGGTTTAGGACTGTGGTGGAAGACAAACCAAGAAATGCTAAAAGGGCATTTCTGGATCTTTTAAACTGGCAACCAACCATCTGCATGTGAAAATCTTCTTTTACTTGTGTTTTTTACCCTTTAGTCTTCTCTAATCATTAAGGCCCATCTACAAGCAGTGAACATTATTTTTTTAAAAAATCCTATGATTTATGTTTTAATTTGCATTTTCCTTGAGGGATAGATTGTGTTCTTTCACGCCCAAAGAACTTGATTTCAACATGCCCGTAATTTGTTTCGCTGAAATATATATTAACATGTCCTGTGAGATTCCCATCCTTAAAAAGATGTTAAGGAGAGGTGCTTACCAGCAAAATTTTGGTATTTTGTCATTCGTGGGAAAAAAACCCCAGCTCTGTTAATGGGATTGCTAAAATGTATTTATTTATTTTTCACCTTTATTATTTTTATAAATAAAAAGCAAACATACTTATTACCCCTTCCTCTTATTTTCTGCAAAACAACAACCCTGTGAGGTGGGCCGGGCTGGGCTGCGACAGAGCGACAGGCCCAAAGTCACCCAGCTCGTTTTTCACTCCGAAGGCAGGACTAGAACTCACTGTTTCCTGGTTTTTAGCCTGATGCCTTCCGTACTAAACCAAACTGGCTATTTTTCAATTCCGTAATTGAATTTTAATTCAATATTTTTTCAATATTAAGTGTAGTTCAAAGGCTCTCCACTTTTAAGTTGTTTCCAACTACCTTCTTTTCCTGTGTGGTTCTGGGCAGTGCAGCACAGAGTTTACCAGAAATGCTCTACATATTCTGAACTATCACATTTTATTTATTTGTTTAAATAAATAAAAGTACCTTCTTTATACAGTTATGATTTCACAACATCTGGAGTGATTTCCCCCCCTTCCTTTCAATAAATCCGTGGGCTTGCCCATATGTAGTCAACTTAAGAGTGAGAAGTAAATAGTTAAGTTCAGTTTCAGTGACTTAAAACCATTTTTTTTTTGTTTAGTTTGGGTTGATTTTTACGTGTGGGCCCCATTGAAGGAAAGGAAATCCTTATCAAAGAAGAATTTTTCTAGTCTGAGAGTTGGCGGCTCTTTTTCTGAATACTGTAGTAGAGACTTCTAAATGTTTTTGGTCCCCAAATTGGAGCAGTGTTGTTTTTGTAGTTTTACCTGGAAGGGTGCCTTCCTCTGTAGTTAGAAGGCTGCATGTCCTCATTAGCTTGCAGAATAATAGGGTGTCTTCTGTACTCCCAATTCCAGCGAAAGCACAGGCATGCTTTTTGCTCAATCTGTTTTTCACAGGATAAGATGCTTCTGAGCTGTACCAAAATCCTTCCCCCTCCCTCCCTTTTGGAAATGACGTCATCTCTCATATTTAGTGGGAAGGGTTCCAAGGCAAAAATAAATCCATTTTAAAAATCCACGCCGCGTGTTCTTCTTTACTCAGAAATTTTAAAAAAGTGAATACATAAGTGGCATATTATATCCTGGCAGCATTTAATCAAGCGATATTCCTTGCATGATTCTTTTTGATTTCGCTGTTCACAGAAGTTTCCACAAAGGGGGGGTGGGGTAGTCTTTGCTTTGGCAATCTCTTCTCTTGCAGTAAAGAAGCATAAATCATCTTTATTTCATGATTTCTCCTGGGCCTTACACAGCTCGGTTTTTTAGTATTTAAAACAATTTTTTCTCGTGTGGGGGAAGCTTTTTTAAAAAATAAGGTGAAACTTTAAATGGGATTTCAAGTATAATTTGGTACCTGAAAAATGGGGAGCCCAGTAATATTTACGGTAGTTTCATCTTACATTTCGTTTAGTGACCATTCGAATGTATAATGGCATTGAAAAAGTGATTTATGACCATTTTTCACACTTAGGACCATGGCAGTATCCTTGTGTTCACATACCAAAATTCAGACACTTGGCAACACTCATTTTTACGACGGTTCCAGGGCCATGTTCGCACCTTTTGCAACCTTCTGACAAGCTATAATCAATGGAGAAGCCAGATTCACTTAACCTTGTTACTAATTTAACAACTTGCAGTGATTCACTGATTCACAACTCATGGTCATCAAATGGGATAAAACTCACTTAACAACTGTTTTGTTTAGCAAAGGAAATTTTGGGTTCGTCTGTGATCCGTACTTGGTCCTGCGCTCTCCCTACCAGGAACTCGGTTCTTTTATTAAACAGAAATCACTCGGGAAAGAGAAGTGAATGGGACCAACCGTTCCTCAAAGGAGCTTATCAAGCAAGCAAAGAAGGAAATGAACAAAGTTTATTTCCTGGTGGAATCCCGGCTTCTATTCACCCCCAATATTAGGATGGTCTTTTCTAAGATAAGTGAATTACGTGTTCTAGGGGCAGGGAAGATGGGTCCTTCAGCGTAGCCCTGAAGGTGGGGCGGAGGCGGGCCAGGGTGGCGAGTGAGATGCTTTTAAATTTCCTGACATTTCTGGTCCCAGGTCTGG